GACAGCAAAAGTCATTTTACAACTTTTTTTTTTCTAGCTTTTTAGAAAGTTTTCATACTCTTCAGTTCCTGCAGGCACACACTGTATGCCACTGTCACAAGCAGGTCCATGATGTCCACCGGGTGAAAGAGAGAAAAAGAGGTTTTATTTTTCACCTCCTTCACCACCATTTTCAGTCTCACTTTTTATTCCGTGACCTGTGTGCACACGGAGCTCTGAATTGTCCTGTTCTTTAGGGCTTCCTGCCAATAAGTCCTAAACTTTCAACTTCTCTTCACCCGGAATAGGAAAGCTGTGCACAAGTATGTATGCATTATAACACACTTACAAGTCAGGTGCAAGACAACAAAAATGTTAATAATGGTAATAAAAAATAAATGAATTAATATAATAAATATAAAATAAATGAATGAAAAGAAGAAGTCAAAATACACAATGGTTATAAATTTTGCTTTCTGCAATATACATACAATTATATTCTTGGGTTTCAGCTCGGGAAAGCGGCCATGTATTTTCATTAAACCATCCTTTCACCATTTTTGGCAAGTTCACTTTCTGTAATGGCTAAAATTATAAAGCTGAGGTACAACAATAGTTTCATAAAAACACAAAAGAAAATACAAAGACTCAGTAATTACAAGTCCAATCACCTCGCATATAACTATGAACTTCCTTCACATAAAATTCATATTACTCTGGTTATAACAAAACAGTTGGCAAAGTCTCATATCAATAATGGTAATCATCATAATAGAATATTTTTTGTACTTTGTGCATTCTACACATGTACTGTGTACTTTCTATAAATTTACAATGTTTCGAGCATGTTCATGAAAATGTTAAGAAAGGCATCTGATCTGTACTATCTCCTTAAGTCTAAGGCAGAACGTTGGTGCAATTACAAGAAAGAGAAAGAAAAAAGGCATTATTGTCCTATCATATTGTAATTAATCACAATAAAACATATCAAAGGATACAGAGCTTTTCATAACATTGCAAATATCATAAGGGACTGAATAACAACTAAGATATTTCTTACTCTTCCAACCGGGACTTGGGAACTACATGACAAAAGTAATTCATAGAATGTACAAAGTACACAACACTTTGCCTACACAGGATTTACTTTCCAAAGAAGTTGTATCTATGCAAAAAATGATTTTACGTAATTCATTCTCCCTAGGGTTGGGTCAAAATAGAACAATCTACATTCCCACTTGTGTTTGCACAGAGGATGACCCAGGGCAAAAAGTCCAAATTAAAAAGATTATCCATGCCAAAAATAGAATAATTTGAGCTGAAATACAAGTGCATGAGAGTAGACCAAAATATGGATTTTTCCTTCCTGTGTGAAAACGAAACACTTCACTGTCTTTAGAGGATTAAAAAAAAAAAAAACAAGATGAATACCATAATCAGAAAGCTTAACCATTGCCCATTTTAAAACTGAGGAAAAATACTGCATTGGAGATACAACATCAAAAAGTCCACAATTCATCAACTATAGGTTAATTTGTCTTTTAATCTAGCTACCTAAAGATAAATACTTCTTAATATTATTCAGCGCTTGTGTAGGATTTACGCTTCTGGCCAACAAAGTTCTTAAAAACCTATTCAAGAAGGAACAGGTGTTACTACAACCTTTATTGCATGCACATAAAAAGAAATAAAAAAAAAAAAAAAAAAAAATAAAAAAATAAAAAATAAAAAAAAAATAAAAAAATAAAAAAAAAAAAATAAAAAAAAGATAAATAAATAAATAAACATTTTTGTAATACATAAAGTTCTACTATCAATCATTAAATGATATAGAGTACGGATGTGAAGGGTGTAAAATATAACGGATCGGATCTTTGAATCTCATCGACATTATGAAGAAACTGGTGTAAAAAAGTACATCATAATCATATCTATATTATACAACTATCATATCTCATTCATCCATATAAAATATCTAGTGATTTTAATAATGGTAGCTTTATTTCCCTGAATATACACACCCAATTCAAATTCATGATCGTTACTTATGACTCTAAACATTTACACTATGATATATACTTTTTTCTTTTTTGAAATATGATATATTTGGATATTTTGGATGCTAAAACACATGTGGGGGTATAAATGCATCACGTCCGATAGTCTGGAATGATGAAATGAATCCCTGGAAGATATTCACAAACCCCATTACCGAGACAAGAACTCTCACAACGCTGCACCACAATCAATCATTCTTTTTATCCCCTTCCTCTGACTGGCCATCAGCAGGGGTAGCAGCCTTCCCAGAGAACGGGCAGGACAGACTCCCATTGGCCGTCGCAGTTCCGTTCGAGGCCGGACATGCACTCTTGCCATCCTTGTCATCTGTTTTCTTGTCTGTGCCATCGGTTACTTTGCCCCACGGGTTCCAGAGCTTGAGGAAGATGGGCTGCAAGAAGCGGTGCCAGATGAAGAGAAGAACGGGCACTACGATGCAGGGGATGCAAACCATCGCTGCGGCTGCTGTGGGGTTCTGCCAATAATACATGCCCAACATTAGAAGAACACACAAATAATTGGGTGAGTAAATTGGTTGTGTAATTCTGGAATGCGGAATGAACTGCAAGGGATTTAGATGCCAGGAATTATTCTCGAATATAAATGTAATTTTGTGCTAAGGTTAGGGGAAGTAAAACTTTGATCGTAAATATACGAAATTCAATATACAAATGTATTAGTAAAGAATTAGTGTGTTTTTCTAATGCCCTTGGGATTCCACTTAATCTAATAAATCAATCTTGCAGAGACACTTGGTATAGTTATCATAAAGACAAAGCTATAAACACAATATCCTTTTTGAATAATGATAATCATATCAATGCAAATCTTCACCAAACTGTATTAGGCTGACACTTCAATGATTGTGTTCGGAGAGAAATTTGTCCAAAGAATTACTGGGGGAACTTCAATAAATCTATTAGTTTTACTCCATAACACACTCTCTTGACAAGAATTAAAGTAAAGAATATCATCGGGGGAAAAACATGGACTTTTCAAACCTAAGGATCAAATTCGCTAGGCAAATCTAAACATCCTCCACCATTCACAACAATGTACCTCAAATATAAATGAATATGACTAATCATACAATAAAGTTTTAGCCTTTGATAACTACCATGGGTGTCTCTTCAAGAATTACCTTCTAATCTTAAGTTTTATATAAACACATCCTCACGCTGTTGTTGTCGTGTTTTCTTTATAATTCATTTCATTTACACATCTCATCTCTATACATTTATCCTTGAATTTTTGGATAGAAAAGTTTTATTTCCATTTCTATTAGCATTGCTAACAGGAAGATAATAACAATAATAATAATAATAATAATAATAATAATAATAATAATAATAATAATAATAATAATAATAATAATAAGAAGAAGAAGAAGAAGAAGAAGAGAATAAAAGCTGTTTCCCTAAAAATTCAAGGGATGCGTTAAACAAACCAAGTAACCGACAAAGTCCTCTTAGAGCCAACTGCGTAACAACAAAATTGACAAAACAGAACAGTGGACAGCATATGTACCGACATCAATAGGTTGATCAAAGTGAAGATATATGTATTCTTCAAAAACAGATATACAAACCAACTTTCAGATTAACAGTGTTTTAACCACTGGCTGCAGGTTCAAGTATCATCCACTGCATCTTTTCTTTTCCTTCTTTTCATGAATTTAGTAATGCACTCAAGATTCCATTAGTTGGCATTAGTGACCTCTCCTGCTTTACCCATTCCTTGAATTTTGTTATCAATGTCTGTTATCATTCTTACTAACATTGCAATTATTAAAATACTAATAACACTCAAAAACAAAATAGGTGAGATAGGTAGGACTTCTACGGGACTCCTCGGTAACTAAGCATTCTTGGAGGCATCCGTGAGTAAATACAATTGATAAAGTAAATTTACAGTAGACTTGTATGTTTATCATATCATGCCCAACCAGGGGATTAAAAGATACATCTTATCTTATTAACTGTAAGAGTAATTCTTATTCATATTTACTATTCATGCAAAATCTGACAAGGAAGTTGATAAAATAAATCCTACAAATTAAATAAGTGTTACATAGTATATCATTGGTCGTAAGGTCACTTATCTATCATATTTTCTAAACATTTATAATATCTAATTTGCTCTACGAGTGATAACATAAAAAAACAAGCCTTCTAAACGAAATTAACAAATAAATAAATGGAAACATCCACAATAAACTGATATCTAAATATCTTAAGAGTAAATAACCCATACAAAATAATAGCTAACCCCTGGTGAATGACCACAATATTCTCAAAATTTCAAGGATATCATCCAATCAGTTTCCGTAGACAAAGAGTTTGTCTATAAATTGTCGATATGCATAATCATGAACCTTAAAGCATTTGCTGCATTTTACATATGTATAAGGGCAAGTCACTTCAACTTTCTGCTGTTATTCAAATTGCCTTCCAAAGGAATGTAATGTGGGTTCTGAAAATTCAATAACGAAGGTAGTTTTGCCGCATTTGCAATAGGAAAGGAAGGTCTCTGGGGGCACAATCCATTGACCCCAAGCTGCCAGGCATGGTAGGTACGTACATGCCATTGCCCATTGTGTGTGTTGAATTTAGTAATTGTTTTTACCTATAGATGGCTCCACCAGTACGGTCACCAATGAGCCAATTACGCGAACTACCTGTTTAACCTGTTTATCCTTTTCTTTGATTTTCGGTAATATTTTCTAATATTTAATATTGCTGTTAGCAATGTCAGTAACAATATAGTAATTATAATGTTTATAACAAAAATAACAATTACAATATTGATAGCATTAGTAAAAAAAGAAACGTTTTCCCCAATTTTTCAAGGGAAAGTGAGGTCACCAGATCTACTAATTGACTCCTTTGTGGCTAAGCATTAGCAGAGCCATCTATGTGCAGAAACATTTAACCAAGCATTGCCAAAGGGAACGCACCATTTTTCCGTCGACATTGGGTTAAATAATGCTTAGCTAGTTAATACTACTACCACAAATACGTGTTACATATTAAATTTGCTACTAGGAAACACAGCAAAAATATCTTCAGCTCCTAAGGCACAACAATGCTTTAATCAATTCAAAAATACGAGAGTATCATAAATCCACACAATTATCAACTCACTTTCAAGTATACAAACTTCTGTAGATTACGATATAGGATAATTTAATAAGCTCTAATGAACGGAAAAAACTTTTTGTAGATTGACTTTGTTCAACTTTCTACATTTCTGTAATTTTACAGAGACTAAATAGGTAGCAACTTCAAAAAACAAGCATCACACATTAATTAACAATTACGCAAAATATTTGGAGGGTAGTTGGTTGTATTGCCCTTGCAGCATTTCCTGTAGCTTCTGCATTTGTTGACACTGACAGACCTGGCTAAGGATCCATCATCAAACTTGAAATAATCTAAAGCTGCAATTTTTCAAAAAAATGCCAGGTGGAAGTACACTGGCATTTGTCAGTGCCCAAGACATGAAGCCATAGCAGTTGTTTGAAAATCCACCACTACTGGATCGAACTTAAAACTGTATGATTTTATCACAGCACAAATGAACTTTTATGTGAATTTGGATGGAACGCAGACAATCATGGCATAACACTAGCAAAGACCTTTTGAAAGCCAGTTGAGGTTAATTGACAATTTTTGACATGAAAACTGTCATGCAGGGGCAAATGATTAATGTGCACGGATGCAAACAAAAGAAAAAATTGTTTGGCAAAATAACTCAGACCTTGAAACCTATGTTATATATAAAGTATCAAGCAATCCTTAAATTTGTATTGGGAAAAAAATGCAAAGATAATGAAGAATTCAAGGACTTGATTTCAAAAGAGCAGATTTGATTATCAAATAAGGACTAAAAGCAGTGAGGAGGATTTAAGAGATTACGATGTGCAGTTCATCAGTTGCAATCCATTTTTCATTTCTTTTTATCATAACTACATTTTAAAATTTCAGCTTTGCAAATTCACATGGTAATAGATAAATGGCATTTAGAATGAACAGGTCAATGATTTTTTAAGATATTTCCTTCAATGACATGACTGCTATCAAACAGAATAATGAAAAAGTTGCAAAATAAATGCCTCTAGTATAAGATGCATCCAACCATAATCATAGGCTCCATGGCTTTGGTGCTCCTACAAGAGCCAATTCACTTCCACCGTTTATATCCTGGCAGGATGGAGTAAAGCCTGAATCCAACTTTGATAAGGAATCAAGAGTGAGATTACGTATGGTAGAAATTATGGTTTTGACTAGTTTTTAACCGATTTTATCATACAATTAAAAAAAGCTTACGCTAACTTTCTATTTGCAACCAATTCTTTATCTATGGAGCTAACGTTCACAACTGCAAAATTATCTCTTGTACTGATGACTGGAACTTTTAGTCCTCAACAGGAATACCAATTTCAATTTGCCTATGTTAGTGCATCCATAACGTAAAGATTAACCAGCACATTGTAGGGCAGCCAGTGTATACAGTTTCAAAGAAAACATCAGGTATGCAGAAAATAAAATACCAGATAATAAATAGTAAAAAGAATACATATATTAAAACTACTGCATGTAAAAGGTTTTTGGAGGCAATTGTACATATTTTCAAGGTGTTCTAGAACACCTAGATTTAGGTTTTAATGGAGAGAAATTTTGAAATGCTAAAAAATTATACCTAACTTATCAAAATTAGATCAGGGGTTGTAAAGTAATCACAATTAAAAATTTCAATGAATGAGCTCTTTGTTTAATGGATAAAGCATCAAAAATCAATGAAATAATTGTCACAAAAACAAAAGTTTTCCCATGCTAAATGAAATGCAAATAACTTTTTCATTTGAGAAGAGAGATAGCACTAACTCTGCATAGTTATCCCTGGGTATTTCAGGGTGAAATTCATACCATAGTGCAATATGGATGCCCTTGACCTCAAAGTCAAAACAGGGAAAATGGCAGCACTGGACAGGTTTCCAACATGGCAGCACCAAAAGTAGTGTGGGAACACAGGAAACAGTAGAAATTAAGTTTAGACCCTAAAATACATATGCATATGCAATTTCATGGTGTACCACAATATTTAGGGGGTGTATTTTGTAGGGTAAATCTACCTTCAAATTCAAATTCTCTTTGACACAAAACGAGGTGATTAAGGACATTCCCAAAAATGAAAGTGGTTCCTTCCGGATTTGAGCAGAACTAGTTTCCCCAAACTGTATTTTTGTACAAAGGCAGTGCAATGGGCGGAAAAAATGATGACATCATCATGATGGCTGTGACTGACGTTCACAAAATAAGAAATATCCATGTGTCTAGTATATGTACATGTCCAGGTATGTCTACAACTGTTTATAAAAATATAAAAAATACACCTGCAATGACTCAAGGGACAGCTGAGGTCTCCACATTCCTGGGACTCAAGCAAAAGACCAACAACCATCCCTCATTAATATTCTAGTAAGATAAAGAGCTTCTACAAATTTCTGGCGATTTAATTATAAAGAACCAGTCTAGCTGCTATCAGAATATACAACAGAGATTTGTTGGCCTCTGCTAGATTTTCTGGGGCTTCTCTTGGGGTGGGGGAGGTGCAGTCCTAGACTAGACAATTGACAATATCTCTGATGTCTGAGCTCAAAGGAAGATTTCAGATTTCGTCGCTGTTTAAAGGAACTGAATGCAATCAAATGATGTGTTTGGAACTCCTCGTCCTACTTGTCCAGACACGTTGGACAAAATGTTTTGACAATTCTGAACCTCTGCTTTCTCGTCCTGGACAAGATGTCGATCTTGCCCTCCTGCAAACCTGGGCAAGCAGGACGGGATGATGTCACAATAGCTTTTGTATATAAACATTGACAGTTGCAGGCAAACACAATATATTGATAGGTAATTCTATGGCGCTTTATTGATGTTATCAAAGGATATTTTTGTGTTTGTCATTTGCAGGTTATCAAAGGATATTTTTCTGTTAACCCAATTGTGCCGGCTGTCACATATATGAGACATCGGAAAAAATAAACACGTCCAGGCGTCCCCGTGTGACGCTGTATTGGGGCTGTGCTCCGACGCAGCAGCAGCGCATGGCCGGGTGGGCGGACAGACTCCGGGGAAGCTACGCCCCGCCGATTTTGTAGCCACCCGGAATTTTTTTAGTTTGGCTACAAAATGTACCGGCGTGAGTGGGTTAATATTCATCAAAGGAGTTACATGACCTATGCAGAATGTAAAATGAAGACACTGGTATGAAAAGGGAGTGAATATTTACATTTGAGCCAGTTGTACTCCAGACTGTAGAGTATTTTTCTTGGGTGAGGAATATTAAATTTTTTCATGTGCGGAAAATATTATTTTCTCCACATTTGTGCTGACAGATCTGTGGACAAATGATGAAACAAGTGCACAGAAAGGGCAAAAGAATTTTATGCGCAGAAGATGATGTAAAAAAGACTATCCGTGCACGGAGTGTACAAAGAATACATTAGCGCAGATAGCAATTGAACCAAAATAATTTTTGAGTGGGGCAGACAAACTCTAGAGTCTGGGTTGTACTGTGAAGGTCTTGGAGGACGTGCCCTCTTTGTCCTGCTGGTCCTGGACAAGTTGTCTGGACAAGCAAGATGTGGAATTCAGAGGACACCAAAAATACCCATATCAGAATACTAATACTGGTAAGTCTGGCAGTAAGAATTCTGAGAATATTTCCCATTCTACACATACAACTATTTAGAAATGATACAATGTTAATCTGATTAAGGTCTCACTAATTAAAAATCACTCCAAATGCATTTCTCGTCCTAATTTAAAAGACTGAAAATGGAATGACCAACATGATGAAGTTCAACCCTTAACTTGTGGGTCGACGTCGACGTCTTTTTCCAAATTTACCATAGGTATTGGGGAAAAAAAACAACAGAACTTCAGACCTCACTTTTTCCCTCTAACACCACTTAAACAGAACTTACACCTAACACACACTACAGAAAGTAATGACCAGAACGTTAAAAAGCTGATTATAACCAATGTGATATTTTACGAAAGTATACTTACGATAAATGCAGGAGGAGCAGAGGAGCGTGACTTGGCTCAGCTGATCAGAAGCTTCTGGCAGCTGATTCTCCACTGGCGGAACTCGACCAATCAGAGCGCGCGTTTCTAATCCAGCCAATAGGAAGCGGTGTTGTGTGTGTTGTATAAAAAGGGAGAGTAAGTGTAAATGTTTATAACATGGTGTAATGTTGTTATATATTTCAAGAATGGGAATAAATGTGTTATTTGCAACTTCTTATATTTTTTTCCGAGACGATGACTTTGTGGTGAGAATAGTCAAGTCGGTTTTGAAATAATGAATGTCTGTTTGCATTTATCATTACTATCCTACAGCTGCCATTATCATACATTAACATACATGGGAATACTGGCGATGAAGCGCGTACAATTATACCATTTTTTTCATTATCTTTTACATTATCTTCATTCGCATGCCACCCCCTTAAAAAAGTTTTTTTTTCTTTTATCAACAAGGACATGACTTTGTTTTTTCTTTTTTCTTTACTTCTGCAGGCTTATACTCAGACGAAATATTCTGAAGAAGCTTCGGTATATTTGTTTATGCCGATGAATGCTTTTTACTTTCACAAGACACGTTGTTATTCTTTCCAATGTTAATCTAGATTTCAAAACGTCTTTGTTTAATGGAATCTCTATGACTCTAAAATTATCTCTCACATTATCTTGTCTTTCCTCCGGTCTCTTCCCTAGCCTGTCTGTCTGTCTGTCTGTCTCTCTCTCTCTCTCTCTCTCTCTCTCTCTCTCTCTCTCTCTCTCTCTCTCTCTCTCTCTCTCTCTCTCTCTCTCTCTCTCTCTCTCTCTCTCTCTCTCTCTCTCTGTGTGTGTGTGTGTGTGTGTGTGTGTGTGTGTGTGTGTGTGTGTGTGTGTGTGAGTGTGTGTGTGTATCTCCCCCCCCCCTCCTCTCCTAGTTTCCTATGTAATCTAATCAGTACATTATACGATACTTTATTAATCTCAATATCTCAATCTTTATTCACGTAAGCGACAATAAACTACTGCCTTCCTTCCATTTATGATTCCAGTTAAATTTCATGTGTCTGACTGCATTAATTAATCCTTAATTAAATAAATTTAACTTGGATTAACTTGATTAATCCTTAATTAATTAAAATGATCCTTACCAATGCTTCTATTAAATTTGCAGTGGATACTCGTTAAGGGGACTTGCAGTTATTGGCTAAAATTGTTTTCAAATTCCAAAATAATGTTTATGTCCTATCTTCCTTCCATTTCTAAGATAATATCCTTGATTTCGCTGATGTTTTAGATATGACAGATTAGCGAAAAAATAAAATAATAGCACATTCGGTTCCTGAACGGCGGGTAACGTTGTGGAACGTGGATCACGTGGTTCTGAATCTACCATCCATTCATAAGTCGTCGTTTGGTTTGACAGAATGATGATATCAAAATACGAAGAGTAGACATTTCAGATACTAATGCAACACTTTTCTTTTCATTACGAGTTTCAAGATAAATGCAACGTCACGTACGGAAATTCATGCTGATCATGAAGAAATTAAAGAAAGAATATAAAACAAGATTTGTAATTTGACGTATTCGTGTGTGTGTGTGTGTGTGTGTGTGTGTGTGTGTGTGTGTGTGTGTGTGTGTGTGTGTGTGTGTGTGTGTGTGTGTGTGTGTGTGTGTGTGCGTGCGTGTGTGTGTATCGTACAAAACGAACATGATACCGGTGATAAGATTAACTTGAGTTCGCTATTGCACACTTCAAGTAGTTACAAAAAAATACAGGGGCGTCATCTGGGGGGTGGGGGGAGGGGTGGAGGGGGGTAATCGCCTCCCTTTACCTCTGCCTCCTTCAACCACCAAACCCTCAAAGTCTTTTTCTCCTAAATTACATCTCTATAGAGCTGGCCGTCGCATAAAAGTACCCCTAAAATAGCTTAGAAAAAAACAAAAGAAATCTCACGGAGCCGATGTATATAATTGCGTTCGCTCGCCACGCCGACCTTGCCCCCAGAAAATAAATGTTGAAATGACACACACAAACACACCGGTTCATTTGCTGTTCACGAAGAAACTGAAGGTTTGAAGTCAGCTCAGGTATGTGGACTGTTTTACACGTTTTGAACACGTCCAATTCGGTACTTGCTGAGAGACTGCCAGTTGCGTAGTTAAGCACAGTATCTCCTATACTAATGTTTAGTCTTCATGAGAGAGATACACGTGATAAGTGGTGACGGGGGGATGTGGGGGGGGGGGGCAAATGTTAAGAGCACTGATAAGAAAATCGCCATGTAGCTTCTTATTACAGAAAATGGGAAATGTCATGCATCGTAGAAAATGGGCGATGATGGTAGACTATTTTTATTTTTCATTGTATTTTTTTCTAGATGAAATGGTATTAATGATTGTATTAATAATGATACCGTATTGATAGAGATAACAGTGCTTATATTTAATTCTCTTTCTCTTTGCTTTTTAGTTATGAGATATGAATGTTATTTATTGCTTATCTTTCTTGTTTAATCTTGCCACACACAGCAAAGGCAATTACGAAAAGAGAAAAAAAAAAAACATTAAGGAAAAAAAAATATTGTCCGTCAGTATTTGGCTTTGTTCTTAAAATATGGAATATATCCCAGTTGATACCAAGATCACCAAAGGAAGAGCTAATACATGGAATTCAATCACATCCTAAATGTATTTTGCAGTTCTGTGCATAGCTCAATTTAGGTCAGAATAGTTTAGTTAGTCAGATAGAACCTCTCGTTTTTTGTATGGATTGTGACTGATGGATCATACAATAATAACCAGGCTTTTTGGTAGCAGCATTTCTACCATTTTATAAACATGAGATGTCAAAGAAAATGGATATAGATAATAAGATTGAACCACGTTACACTATTATAAACGGATGAATCTTAGATTACAGTCACATCGCGCTGGGTCAGAGTACGATGATTATAGGATTCCCTGCGGTAATTTCTGGTTTACTGCACTGCATAAATCAATATATAATATATATGATTAAACCAATAATCTTACAACATCCAACAACATAAATTGCACCCGCATCTCTTTATATTAATGTACCAGATGTATAACTTCAGAAAATACATCAATCTCGTAAATTTGATTCATCTAAAAAACTGTATACGACTATTCATAATATGTTACACAGTTGAAGGTTTAGTCACTGTAGCTCTGCCTTTGGTGATGCTCAGCTGGAAGACCCATCTGAGGTGACATTGGATGAAATTTCTGCCAAGACGACGTTCGGTCTGCCACTTCATATCAGTTCGTAGCAGTTTGGTTTCAAACATAAAGCCTACGGAAAAAAAAATCCGTAGTGACGTCATCATCCGTCGGTCGTCTTTTGTTTCCGTTTAGCAGACGAATTTCCGTAGAATTCCAGCTCTGGTAATCACACACACATGTATTCATACATGCATTTACACACACACACACACACACACACACACACATGCACACACACACACACACACACACACACACACACACACACACACACACACACACACACACACACACACACGCATATATATATAATATATATATATATATATATATATATATATATATATATATATATATATATGACGAATTCTAACACATTTCTTTTTCTAACAATTTTCTCCTCCCCCCCCCACTCTTATTCCCTTCCTTTACCCGTTTCGTCCGTTCGTTCGTTCTCGTCAGACGAGTCTCGCATTTCGTGTCAAATAGACGTGTGTGTTGTGCTGGTATTAATATTCGTGTTTTGCCCTGGGGTATTGGAGGTTGTCATGCTTGATAGGTATCTAAACATATTTGAATGAATGTTTATGTTTTGCATTTTCATAGATGAAACAAGTCTCGACTTTCGCCCCGAAACACAGAGAAAAGAAAAAGTTGAGAAAATATGTGACGAAAACACGCCATGATGCCTTGTTGATAGGAACGGTTTCTTTAGTTATTATTATTTTTTTTTTAACCGTGGATATAGCAACGGAATTCATCGAAATTGTTCTAGTTGAGTGGAATTATTTATTAAAGTGTAAGGAAAGGATCGATCTATGTTCAAGTATTTAACTGAAAGATACTGATGAAATGGTTGTCTCGATCCTGTCCCATACATGTATCTATTCTCATCATGTCAAGGATTGTTAATTTATAATAAGTCGAGATAAAGTGTAAAGTTAACCTTAGATGAGATTGAATTTAGCAGCGGATAACTTTTTTTTTTCTTATATTTGTTGCTGAGGTTTACATTGTGTTATGCCTGTTTATTATTTGGTGACGGCACTACCAGAGATATAACGAACTTAAGGGGGCGAATTTCGTTAATTATGATCGAATTTTCGCGATTTTTTAATGTTACATATACATATACTGCAGTTTACACCACCAAGTTTCAAATCATTTGGATAATAAACAGTGAAATTATTAAAAAAAAAAAAATGAAAAATCAAAAAACTTATGTATCTTACTTATCCGTTGATGGAACTAGTTGAAAAAATACTACTTATACTCCATTGCAGTACTTATATTATCAACGATCGGATTTTGAAATTTCTTAATTTAGTGGAAATTGTTTTTTCGTTCAGTTTTAAAAATATAAAGTATGATATATGCACTTTTATCACCTGATATGAAAATCTGATCCCTGTTAGTGTGAGGAATTTATAGTATAAGAATTTTCATTGTTGGATATATGGGGTTGGTTTATGTTTGAAAAGGGGATTGTTGGGCAAGGCGTACATGACTCAAAAAGTGTTGGCAACAGTGGTGAGGCGACTGCAGAGGCACAGGCAGCGCATAGGCATGGACACACATAAGAGCAGCAGTCAAGGGGACCCGCCCCTGGGGAGTGACCAGCAAAGGCGGGCAGAGGGAATGTTCCGAGCTGGGTACATTGCCTTGGTGCTGTCACTCCCCAGGGGCGGGTCCTTGACTGCTGCTCTTATGTGTGTCCATGCCTATGCGCTGCCTGTGCCTCTGCAGTCGCCTCACCACTGTTGCCAACACTTTTGAGTCATGTACGCCTTGCCCAACAATCCCCTTTTCAAACATAAACCAACCCCATATATCCAACAATGAAAATTCTTATACTTTAAATTCCTCACACTAACAGGGATCAGATTTTCATATCAGGTGATAAAAGTGCATATATCATACTTTATATTTTTTAAAACTGAATGAAAAAATAATTTCCACTAAATTAAGAAATTTCAAAATCCGATCGTTGATAATATAAGTACTGCAATGGAGTTATACGTAGTATTTTTTCAACTAGTTCCATCAACGGATAAGTGAGATACATAAGTTTTTTTTATTTTTTATTTTTTTTTTTTTAATAACTTCACTGTTTATTATCCAAATGATTTGAAACTTGGTGGTGTAAACTGCAGTATATGTATATGTAACATTAAAAAATCGCGAAAATTCGATCATAATTAACGAAATTCGCCCCCTTAAGTTCGTTATATCTCTGGTAGTGCCGTCACCAAATAATAAACAGGCATAACAATGTAAACCTCAGCAACAAATATAAGAAAAAAAAAAAAAGTTATCCGCTGCTAAATTCAATCTCATCTAAGGTTAACTCTACTTTACACTTTATCTCGACTTATTATAAATTAACAATCCTTGACATGATGAGAATAGATACATGTATGGGGCAGGATCGAGACAACCATTTCATCAGTATCTTTCAGTTAAATGAACATAAATCGATCCTTTCCTTACACTTTAATAAATAATTCCACTCAACTAGAACAATTTCGATGAATTCCGTTGCTATATCCACGGTTAAAAAAAAATAATAATAATAACTAAAGAAACCGTTCCTATCAACAAGGCATCATGGCGTGTTTTCGTCACATATTTTCTCAACTTTTTCTTTTCTCTGTGTTCGGGGCGAAAGTCGAGACTTGTTTCATCTGTGAAAATGCAAAACATAAACATTCATTCAAATATGTTTAGATACCTATCAAGCATGACAACCTCCAATACCCCAGGCAAAACACGAATATTAATACCAGCACAACACACACGTCTATTTGACACGAAATGCGAGACTCGTCTGACGAGAACGAACGAACGAACGGACGAAACGGGTAAAGGAAGGGAATAAGAGTGGGGGGGGGGGGAGGAGAAAATTGTTAGAAAAAGAAATGTGTTAGAATTCGTATATATATATATATATATATATATATATATATATATTATATATATATATATATATATATGCGTGTTGTGTGTGTGTGTGTGTGTGTGTGTGTGTGTGTGTGTGTGTGTGTATGTGTGTGTGTGTGTGTGTGTGTGTGTGTGTGTGTGTGTGTGTGTGTGTGTGTGTGTGTGTGTGTGTGTGCATGTGTGTGTGTGTGTGTGTGTTTGTAAATGCATGTATGAATACATGTGTGTGTGATTACCAGAGCTGGAATTCTACGGAAATTCGTCTGCTAAACGGAAACAAAAGACGACCGACGGATGATGACGTCACTACGGATTTTTTTTCCGTAGGCTTTATGTTTGAAACCAAACTGCTACGAACTGATATGAAGTGGCAGACCGAACGTCGTCTTGGAAGAAATTTCAACCAATGTCACCTCAGATGGGTCTTCCAGCTGAGCATCACCAAAGGCAGAGCTACAGTGACTAAACCTTCAACTGTGTAACATATTATGAATAGTCGTATACAGTTTTTTAGATGAATCAAATTTACGATATTAATGTATTTTCTGAAGTTATACATCTGGTACATTAATATAAAGAGATGCGGGTGCAATTTATGTTGTTGGATGTTGTAAGATTATTGGTTTAATCATATATCTATTATATATTGATTTATGCAGTGCAGTAAACCAGAAATTACCGCAGGGAATCCTATAATCATCGTACTCTGACCAGCGCGATGTGACTCTAATCTAAGATTCATCCGTTATAATAGTGTAACGTGGTTCAATCTTATTATCTATATCCATTTTCTTTGACATCTCATGTTTATAAAATGGTAGAAATGCTGCTACCAAAAAGCCTGGTTATTATTGTATGATCCATCAGTCACAATCCGTACAAAAAACGAGAGGTTCTATCTGACTAACTAAACTATTCTGACCTAAATTGAGCTATGCACAGAACTGCAAAATACATTTAGGATGTGATTGAATTCCATGTATTAGCTCTTCCTTTGGTGATCTTGGTATCAACTGGGATATATTCCATATTTTAAGAACAAAGCCAAATACTGAAGGACAAGATTTTTTTTCCTTAATGTTTTTTTTTCTCTTTCGTAATTGCCTTTGTGCTGTGTGTGGCAAGATTAAACAAGAAAGATAAGCAATAAATAACATTCATATCTCATAACTAAAAAGCAAAAGAGAAAGAGAATTAAATATTAAGCACTGTTATCTCTATCAATACGGTATCATTATTAATACAATCATTAATACCATTTCATCTAGGAAAAAATACAATGAAAAATAAAATAGTCTACCATCATCGCTCCATTTTCTACGATGCATGACTTCCCATTTTCTGTAATAAGAAGCTACATGGCGATTTTCTTATCAGTGCTCTTAACATTTGCCCCCCCCCCACATCCCCCGTCACCTTATCACGTGTATCTCTCTCATGAAGACTAAAACATTAGTATAGGAGATACTGTGCTTAACTACGCAACTGGCAGTCTCTCAGCAAGTACCGAATTGGACGTGTTCAAAACGTGTAAAACAGTCCACATACCTGAGCTGACTCCAAACCTTCAGTTTCTTCGTGAACAGCAAATGAACTGGTGTGTTTGTGTGTGTCATTTCAACATTTGTTTTCTGGGGGCAAGGTCGGCGTGGCGAGCGAACGCAATTATAAACATCGGCTCCGTGAGATTTCTTTTGTTTTTTAAGCTATTTTAGGGGTACTTTTATGCGACGGCCAGCTCTATAGAGATGTAATTTAGGAGAAAAAGACTTTGAGGGTTTGGTGGTTGCAGTGGATACTCGTTAAGGGACTTGCAGTTATTGGCTAAAACTGTTTTCAAATTCCAAAATAATGTTTATGTCCTATCTTCCTTCCATTTCTAAGATAATATCCTTGATTTCGCTGATTTAGACATGACAGATTAGCGAGAAAATAAAATATTAGCACATTCGGTTCCTGAATACACCCCTCCCCCACCCAGATGACGCCCCTGTATCCATTGGGCGGTTTTTTTGTAACTATTTGAAGTGTGGAATACCGAACTCAAGTTAATCTTATCACCGGTATCATGTTCGTTTTGTACGATACACACACACACACACACACACACACACACACACACACACACACACACACACACACACACACACACACACACACACACACACACCACACACGAATACGTCAAATTACAAATCTTGTTTTATATTCTTTCTTAAATTTCTTCATGATCAGCATGAATTTCCGTACGTGACGTTGCATTTATCTTGAAACTCGTAATGAAAAAAAAGTGTTGCATTAGTATCTGAAATGTCTACTCTTCGTATTTTGATATCATCATTCTGTCAAACCAAACGACGACTTATGAATGGATGGTAGATTCAGAACCACGTGATCCACGTTCCACAACGTTACCCGCCGTTCAGGAACCGAATGTGCTATTATTTTATTTTTTCGCTAATCTGTCATATCTAAAACATCAGCGAAATCAAGGATATTATCTTAGAAATGGAAGGAAGATAGGACATAAACATTATTTTGGAATTTGAAAACAGTTTTAGCCAATAACTGCAAGTCCCCTTAACGAGTATCCACTGCAAATTTAATAGAAGCATTGGTAAGATCATTTCAATTAATTAAGGATTAATCAAGTTAATCCAAGTTAAATTTATTTAATTAAGGATTAATTAATGCAGTCAGACACATGAAATTTAACTGGAATCATAAATGGAAGGAAGGCAGTAGTTTATTGTTGCATACGTGAATAAAGATTGAGATTTTGAGATTAATAAAGTATCGTATGATATACTGATTAGATTACATAGGAAACTAGGAGAGGAGGGGGGGGGAGATACACACACACTCACACACACACACACACACACACACACACACACACACACCACACACACACACACACACACACACACACACACACACACATTCACACACAAACCGCAAGTTGAAGAAAATGTGAATATCATTCACAAAATATTTGATTTCAATATAATTCAGTGCTACCTCGATTTCGTCCCATTTTCCCATTTTCTGTCACGGGTTATTGGAGGTTCATACCCGTTTTCTTTTCCTTTTTTCTATTCCATTTCATTTTCTCGTCTTTTTCTGTTATTTGTTTTTTTTATTTCGTTTTTCTTTCCATTTCTTTTTCTCGTTTACTTTTCCTGCTTTTTATTTAATATTCTTATCATTTACTTTTCCCGTTTTATTTTCCTGCGTTTTTTTCTTCTTTCTGTTTTCCATTTCATTTTGTCGTTTTCATTTATTCTCTTTTCTGTCCATATTCTTTTCTCGTTTTCATTTATTCTCTTTTCTGTCCATATTCTTTTCTCGTTTGTCATACATTCTCTCTCTCTCTCTCTCTCTCTCTCTCTCCTCTCTCTCTCTCTCTCTCTCTCTCTCTCTCTCTCTCTCTCTCTCTCAGGAAAAAAGATAGACTGGCAACTCAGCCCGTGCACTGGAATATCCTTATTCGCTAAATTACTTTCGAGAGAAAATAAAAGAACACAGTAAAGGCAGCTGATTCCAATCAAAACATAAGCAAAGCTATTGTACATATAATTTTAAAGATATAAAACACACGAAAACTTCAACATATTATATCAGCTGATTATAGTAAACACAGGAGAATTAGCCAATCGGAAATGGGGAAGGCTAGATCAGTAGCAACTGGAGGAGGTGTCATGGCGCTTGACTACATTTAGTACCCCCGTGAAAGAAACTTATGGGAAAAGTGGTGGTTAGAAATATAATACCGTCCAATAAATTTCATCTGTTTTCTTACTGATACCCATAGATGGCCCATCGGCGTTAAGCATACTCTACGTTTTTAAACGAAAATGTGCTGCAGCCTTCTAAACAGAGGGCATAGCTAGTTCTTTTTGTGATGGGGGTGTAACAAAGCATTTGGAGTACAGTATTTTACACATTTTTGGCCAATACTTGCTTGAAATACACATTTTCCGTAACGCCTGGCGGCATGGGCTCCTGCCCACCCCTACCATTAGCTACACCCCTGCCAAATATATTATGAATTAAATGGGCATTTGCACCATTGCCAATAGCAAACAAGATTTAAAAAAAAAAATGACAAGAATTTATCATATTAGTCGAAGATTGTGTGATGGAAGCTGAAAACAATGACGCGTAAAAGCATTTTTATGACATGAAGCACAAATATCTAGAGACCTGAAAGGGATATAGTATTTCAGTACAGGTTCAAACTGGTTCTAAAAACTTTCTTGGTATCTGCCCTGTAGTAATACTCAAAATATTTAAGAATACATAAATATTTCCATTTCGGTATGAAGGCCCTATATTTGAGACTGGTGTTAAATTTCACCATTTGTGTGACCTCTGGTGACCTTGACCTTATGTTTGAGTAGTCCTGCTTACATTCATCTTGTAGCTTACTTCCTAAGCT